GTTTTGTCTAATTTGAAGTTGACTATTTTAACTAAAAAGACTAAATTATTCAAGAGAATAATCTATGTTTCTATGTTTAAACACGTAATTAGTGCTTATATAAACAATTTCTCGATAATTTTCATAACATGAACACCAATCGAATGAACATCTTGAATTTCCAGCATTTACTAGAAAGAAAAGTTCCAGTTATTTCAGTGCATCAGTAATGAGTTGAACTTTGAACAAAAGAAAATTGAGCTAATTCTTATTGAATAATTTCATTGAGATTCTGTACCGACTTAAGTTAGACCACCATTGAAAGACTTGAAGTACTAGATGGCCGTTCCTCCCCAGTATGGGAACACTCCACAGCAATGCGCATCCACGACCCCGAATATGGAAATCGAACCAAGAACCTTCGACCACGTTCGAGAACGCTTAACTTTTAGGCTACTGAATCGTCATTCAAAAGCCTTAATCTCTAACTTCATGAGTTCAATGAAATTCAAACATCTCTACAACCGCTTACAGATGACCGTTAAATTTTGTTTGAGATATAATCTGAATTAGAAACAAACAAAATTATCATGTAATTCTTACCGAGTGATGATGATGCGACAGACTTATTCTTATTAATATCACATGTAATTCACACACTCAAAAAGGTATATTCTACAAAGCTCATGAATTGGTAAATATTAGATGAGATTAGATTCGACAATTTCTAGAAAAAAAAATCTGGAAAATATTCTGTTAATTCACAATGACTAATTGCTACCATAAATATTTATGATTTTGCAAATCAAAATTTTAGTTCATTCTATAATCTACACCTAGTGAAAAGATACTTCCAATTTTTAGTTGCTCTTTAGTTTCAATAATTTTCAATATACACTTTGATAAACTTACTATTATTAAATAATTTTACCGAAACATAAAATAATCTGTACACGAATTTGTTCTCTTTTTTTTGGTATGATTTAGTCATTATTAATGTAAGGTTACATTAATAGTTTTCTCATGGATATAATACCTAATAATAGAAGTTAAATTTCAATATCGATTTATGTAGGACTTCTGTTTTAGTTAGCCGGTTCTATTTTTATTAGCAAGAAAAAAGAAACATTCATTTGTATGTTTTACAATCATTATAAATCCAGATACTACTAATAATAGCAATATTCTGTATGATATTCGACAAATATTTGAACGAAATTTCAAGGATATGTATCCAGTAAAAATAATATGAGGATGAGCCACTTAGAATAGAAATGTTGATGAGAAACTCAGATGTCACATATAACGAGCAGTAGAAATATCGTTTTATGGTGCCCAGAACGTTTAAAATGATAAAAGAACATCATTTTTTTACCATGAGGTAAAGATAGAAGTGTTAAACGCATAAGATGTTTGATTCTTTCTCTGTACGTTGTATCTAACGGGCAAATAGACAGCATCTGCTATGGGGAAAATAACAAAGGAAGTTGAATTTCCGGAACTACCTTACCTGAACGTGTTATATTTTTGTTGTATAATTATTACTTAATTTATTGTATGACCATGCTAGTAAGCTTTTCTGTGATGGATAAACTGTTTTACCTTTCTAAAGTTATTGTTAAATTAGTATAGATCCATTACTCAGTTGTTTCAAATATGAAGTAGTGCGCATGTACTGTGACTTCTTAAATATGTTAATTTATGGTCAGGATTCTACTTAATATCACCGTATAAACGATCCATAAATTTGAACTATGTATTTATAGCATTTTTACGTTCTGTGTTGTCTTATTCTGATTATTGGACAAGCAATCATGGGAAAACTGCATTCTGGACCAACAGTAGTTAAATATTGATCTCGGCTGTTTTCCCACTATCGTCGTACTATTGTTTAGCAGAAGATATTATATAAGATATATAATTTAGGCGAATTAATCAATACCCGGACTAGAATACAACTCCCGTCCTGCATTACTGTCCGATCACACAAAGAACAACTCAGGAAATTTGTTTTAATTTCGTCACATCAGTGTCCCTAAATCTTTCAACTAGACTTTTAGTCCTGAAAAAAACTTTGACCTCGTGACATTATATTTTATGTACGAACAACTCTTCTAATTTCAATCAGATTTTTACGAGGAATTTATTCATCCACATAGTTACAGATTAATTTTTCAGTACAGCTGATACTATTTCGTCACGAAAATCCTAACAAAGAACACATGGGACCTACTAAAATCTAATATAAGGGTTTAAGAAAACGGATGGTTTATATCCGTGTGAGTAAATTTAATTCTCTGTATTTTTGGTTCACATTCAGAGTAATTTGTAGAAGACTTCGATAAATTATTTTTATAGAACTTTTTTACACTCTGTAGTACTGTTGTCTTATTTACCTGAAATTATCCACACACAAATAGCCATTTTCTGATTGTGTTAAGATAGGCTGAAAGTTTGTTGCGGTAATTCCAAAGTCATCCCAATATTACGCACCTAATATATATCCTTCTACTTATCCCAGCACTAATTTTCATGATGTATATCGTCCGAATACCTTAAGATGCACTGAATGGTTTTTTGAAAAATTTCTGGAATGTTTTTTCATATCGTCTCTAAGTCTTGAAATATAATAGCACGATAAGAACAATTCAGAAATGCATACTGATATCTTAACGAAAGTTAAACCGATTTGTAATCTACCGTTAACGATGTCAAATTCAATGTCCAGAAGCATTTACTACTGTTTTTTAAGAGGTACATTGACTGATATCTTAATTAAAACTGATCATTTATGCTCACATTGGTAATGTCCTACAACAATAGCTGTTTATATTAGTCTGACAAGTTTACGGCTGGACGTCTTCCATGTTCAGTGAATGCGAAGTATCCAGTACTTTCCGTCCATCTAGTAGATGTGTGCTCATTTTATGTATTTTTTAAAAGTGGCTTCAATTTAAGCCCTGTATTTATTTTTCATCTGGCGTGTTACACTGCGCTGCACAAATATATCTATAGCGGAGAGTTGTGTACACCTCCGGATAAAAACTAGTGTAAATTACATTCAAATTTATGGCACTCCCTAAACGAACGGAATTAAAAAAATAGCCGGAAGCGTTGATCACTTCACATGTACTAAACACCAACAAAAGATGTGGATAACCATAGTATAAATTTACACTACTAAGACATATGAATCACGATATTGCGTACATACAAAACCACAAAAATCAATCATTCGTAAATCTCAAAGTTAAATTTTCTGATTCAAGGGAAAGGAAAATATATTATCCATTATAACCAATAACTTTTGTGATTTTGTTTAATCGCTATTTTTCATTTAAAATGAGTTCATCGATGCAAAATTGTAGGCCCAGTGAAATGTCACTAAGCCCTAGCCAAATCATCCGACAGTCGGGTCACTAAATGTCGCACAGTTCACTGATCCTCATCAAGTTCAAGGATAATCAACACGCACTAGTTAATTGCAAACCATGGACTGGTCCATGCGGTGATGATCGCACTCTCCCTTGTACCTACTCTTACTAATACAGTTTGGTAACGCCGTTTGTTTTAGTTATCAAAGCACCCACAGAACCTGGATACGATTAAAGGGATGACTCAGGTTAAGTACTAACCATGAGATGTGACTTCGACCTTAGTTGGTCCCCAATCATCCGAAAACTTTTTGATGTTATCATCTTACTGGAACTAGAACACCTTAAGTCGTCCATTCTCATATCAATCGTAAATCGAAATCAATGCAAAAATAGTGAAGCAAGTACATTAATGTATGATCATACATACATTCACCTTAAATGACTTCTTTATCTCATGATCTCGATTAACTCTAATAACTAGAAATTTTGCCTGATGTTGCTCTAAGTTGGTTTATGGAATAATTTAAATAATCATGAATTAAATCTGTTTGTTCACATTATTGGACGCAGCTCACTGATCTCCAAACTAACAAGGCCACTTACCGAAACAGCTAACAGAAACACTGGTGGTCCGCCCATAGTTAAAAAACCTAAACACAATGATGGTGCGCTGGCCTAGCTCAGGGAGATAATTAAAAGTCCGCTATTAAATCACATACCATTAAAAAAATACCCACCTCATCTATAAATTTTTACCATCCTACATGTGTGACCACGAATTGAACCAATATTTAACAACACATCACTGTATTTAGCGTTTGTTATACAAACACAGCGTACATTTATATGTTTAGCGGGCGTATCAATATGGATTCAGACACTTCCCAACAATTCATTATACCACGAGTTTTGCTGGTGGTTTTCAAAGTACGACTATTTATGGTAGTTACATTGCTTTTATAATAGGGGACCAATCAATCAGACAATGGGTTTACTATATCACCATATCCGCCCTTTTTTCACGCTACATTTATGCTGACAACTCGGCGAAATGGACTTTGTTAAACAAAAGCAAAACGCTTATCTTTAATGTGTGGCGACTATCACATTGATTCCCGTTTGCGCATAAGCCAGCCCTTTAGGAAGGTATTTCAACATACCATGAAATTCACCTCCGACACACATGTGTTCCCTTTCAGTTTTTAATATGGATTTATTTTATGAGTCAGCTTCCTGGTGTCGTCTAACAACCAAACCAGCACCAAAGCAACTTGTGCAACTTAGTTTGCCAGATATTGACGATCCAAGTTAAAAGTATTTATACATCTGATATATATATATGGTGTCACAATATAACCCGAACTTAAATACTGACTGCCGGTTAAGTTACTGAACATTTAAGAGCAACATATATACGGTGTAGTGTCATTCGATTTTCATTCCATAAAAAAACACTTACGAGCTCAATATCGATTCCAAAAGTAACAGAATAATCTACTTATGAAGCAATTAATGACTGTAATAGTATAACGTAAAACAGAATCCGCGTTATTTCACCGCCAATTATCTAGAACTTAACGAAGAAAACCCTACCCCTCTATTGATAATTGGTAAACCCATAACAGCTAATGCAGAAGAAAAGAAAACAGTCTGGAAGCTTTTATTTATATGTACGAAAATGTCGAGGGATTAAATGTATTTAAATGGAATCACCAGATGACTGAGATCAATGTTTCTTTACCTAGTCTAGATCTAAATGACACAGTAACAGGTTATTTTTTTATCAAATCTTACCTGGACATGACTGGTTAGGCATATTGAACCCGGCTCCACCCATTCCGAACGGCATACCCCCTAAAAATTTATCCACATTAAATACATGAGGAATATACTACGAAGCTAACTGATTTTATAAATACGTTTGATAAAATAGACAAGTTTTATTTTGTTATTTACTTTAAACATAGCTGAGTAAGCAAAAGGTAGACCGATAGGTCTTTAATAAAATGAACAACTGAATGTTTCGACTCCAATGAAATGTAGCCCGACTGAGTCATATGAAGTTTTGGAATAGCGTTGTTGGACCCCATTTACTGCGTAAAATTCAAAAGCGCAACTCACCAATTCAATGGAGTCGAGTACAAATTCTTAGCACATGCACCGGTCTGTAGACTGGTGAGTCAGTCAGTCAGCTACAATGTAGGACCAGGCACATATGTGCATCGGTCCAGGTTGCCATACCGCATCAGCACAACAAGATGAACACCGGATTCATAGGAGTGGTTAGGTCAAAGGTGGTAATATATAGGAGAAAGATTGCATATAAGGATGCAGTACAGGAAGAAAGAATTAGTTCGTAGAAAGAAAGATATGAAGTGATTTTAATCTCTTAGTTTAAGGGAAGACAGAGAGTGTATACACCGACGCCATTGTGATCGATTCTGAGCCATGTCACCAAGAGTCTCCAACCATTGGTTACGATAGTCACGCGGACTCTAACCAAGTAGTCTACATCTACCAACATGGCTCAGACTAGAAGTTAGTGTCTTCAAGCACTGATGCCACGTTTTGGTTTGACCGCCCCTAACTTTCTTCCAACCATCTCCAATACCGGATAGCAATGCACGTCGTGGTAATCGGTGTTCAGGCATACGTAACACTGGTGAAAATACCATTGAACCACTTCTACAAGCTGCAGTATTATTCACGATCATGTAGCTGGATCTTGATATCAAGAATACTTAGGAAAATGTTTTATTAGACAAATTTTATATTTAAACGTCTGTCTGACATTACTGGACGTGGCTATAGTGATATACGCTGTTCAAAAATCTGATTACCTATACTAACTACAAATCTGTTAACTGATACATCGAAAAGAAAGTGCACTTTAAGATGTATATAAGTTTGTAAACGTTATTCAAATCCAAATCTGTCGGTATGGTTGACTTACCGGGCATAGCACCACCGCCACCACCACCAAATCTATTCTTCATTTTCTCAATGACCTTCATTACCTTGGGGTTGTTTTTGTATTTATCCATGGCAGCTGGGTTTGAGCATACTTCGCTGAATGCCTTCATCACTTCAGGGTCCTAAAAAAGTTAATGCGAGTATGTAAGGATGGATTAAACATAGCTTTTTGATCTATAAAACAAAAACTTTAAAGTACGTGGATCAACTCTTAGCAGAGCTGAACTTATTATTAAACCTAAAAGTAGGAATTTATACTTGGAGCACTTTTTATAGACCTTTGATCACATAAAGTCAAGTATAACTTGTAATAATACCGTTCGGAACTAAAACTCTGCTATTAGCAGGCTATGAAATAGAAGCAAATTAGTGACTACCTATTATCATTATTATTAGATAATTAAGATATCAGTGGTTATGGATGGAATAGTGAGTACCGTAGAATTTACTTTGCTGTTTATAATTAAACTGTTAGAACCTCAACACTCGGATTATCTTGCTAGTCTCTTTATACTACCGAAGACTAAAAAAAAATACAAATTCTATACATAAACATCAGGAATTTCCTAACTAGATAAATTAGATTGACGATACTTGGTAGTTCCTAAAATACAGGCTAGGTTCTAAATGGTCCGACTTTAGTCACCAGACTCAACGATGGTCTCAAAAACACGGGCAAATGCTATGCAGAATGAGTTTAAAAACTATATGATATTTACCTGGATAGCAGACATCAATTCTGGATCATTGAACAGTTGCGAAAACATATTGTCCATGCCTGGAATGTTACCGCTTCCTGGAATGTCAAAATCGGGTTTTTCTGTATCCTATTCACGGAAAAATGGGAAAATTGAAAGCTACGACAAACAAGCCCACTTAACCAATAATTATGGTAGAGCAGTACATCGGTAATAAAAAAAGAGCACTCATTCCAAAATAATAAAAAAATATAGGTTTGACTTTCCTAAGCGATCAGATAAGTTGGAAGTGGTTTTAAGATAACCACTTTGGAGCTGAATTCCACTTTTGAACATAAGGAATTCAAAGTGACCTAATTTATAAGCTTCGTATTTAAAATGACTAAAGTTTCAGTTGAACTCGTTTTGCTGTTTTTAAAAAAGGTCGACTTGTCAATAGATAATGAAATCGATGGACGTTTGTGTGAGGACACCTAAATATACAAACTTGGAAATAAATACTTATGAACGGAGAATAGTACACACTACAAAAACAAAATTTATGGTTCACAGTAGTTTAATCTCAGGCATTGAAATAACTCAGTGAAAAAAATTTATACACAATCATTTTTCCAAGTACAAACAAAACAAGTTGACCTACTCTCTGGGCGCGTTCACGCTCTTCTCGTGCTTTTCGAATTCGCTCGCGTTTTTCTCGTTCTAGCTTTTCTTGTCGTTTACGTTCATACTTCATGTTATGTTCGAAGATTCGTTTGTGCTATTCAGAAAACAATACCAAAATAACTGTAACAAACATGTGCGTAAAATTGGAATCAAAGTTGGGATTGTCCTTTAATAATACGGGATGTGGTCAGAAGTTGCTTCCGTTAGAGTTGCTACACGTCACATCAAGACTAAAATTTAGACACGCGGAGTAGTGGACTAAATGTACGGAATACATATTAAGAAAGGGTAAAACCACAGATTACGGCCAGTATGCAAGGAAATAAACACATCCATCTGACTAGTCGACTTTTGACATTTTATGTACCGTGAAGTAACAATTACCCTGACAGTCAGGTCAGAAATGTACATCTAGCTGACGTCACAACCTCAACCATGCCACAAAACCAACCAGGTACCCCGAAGTTGCTATAGATGACGGACCAGGGCTACGAAACGATCTCAGTTAAGTCTAAATACTTAGTGATCGAGACGTCACTTTAATACATTACGGCTGAGCTCAGTGTTATTCACACGACGGTATCACCACTAACGACTAACCCATGTGGGTTCTTTAGATATGTTCAATAACCAAAACGTAATAGGGCAGTGTGTAAAATACTCACCCTTAGGCCAAAAGTAGATCACTTACACCCCAGATAAACTGCAAAAATCAGTCAGTGTACGCACGCCTGCCGATGAAATTTACAAAGTCGCAGGAATGCTAATCCTTATTTTTGATGGCTTAATGGATTAGTGAATTAGGAAAGGGGGGAGGAAGGCCTGAAATTGATTTTTGCTACCAGAACAGGACGCTGTTTTAGGTAACCCGGATGGTTAGGGATCAAGATCAGTATTTAGCAACTCAAATATGACCCAACTGTAGAATGAATTTGCGTCTAGATTACTCATCCTTCACTAGGCAACCCTAAACCACTGTATGCATTGGTAATGTCAGCAAAACTCTGGGCTGAAAACAATAGATATACTAAGTATATAAACAAGGTGACCTGCTACACTGAAGGAAACAAATGTGCAAAATTCATCGACACAAGCCATTTCCAACCACCTTGGTGACTAGATATATGTTAGTGTACTAGACTAATGTTCATTTTGTTATAAACAGTGATAATTTTCATGAGTCTCACGAGGCAGTTCGTAAGTAAAAATGATACTGACATACATACAGATAAGTATTCAATTACGGAGAATTACCTTTGGTTCGATTTCCTTTATCGCTTCATTGGCATCATCTGAGTAGTCTAACCTCAAAGATGTCTGAAGATCCCGATAGGCGGCTTCCCAATTACCAATCATTCTATGGAGTAGATTTATTTACAATCAGAGCATACTTATTAGCAAATCCTCTCCATTTGTAAGGTTGTGCAGAATCAGGGTTTAGCGAGATAGCTTTGTCACAATCTGCAATAGCATGGGACGGCTTTTTCATTCGTACAAAGCAACTATGGAATTGCCAGATAAAATGGAATTTACCTTGCACGTCGAGCATGAAATAGTGAGGACTGGGGGTTTAGTTTAATTGCTTCGGTGAACAAATCAACGGCCCCAGTAAAGTCTCCATCAGACATTTTAGCCATTGCTTCACATTTCTTTTCTTCAGCTTTTTCTCTCAATTCATCAGTTACTTCTATCGAATCGTCACCCATATCTAGGTCTGGGACAGGTTCCTTTGGCAGCACCTCATCATCAAACTCTGGCAAGTGTTAGTAATCACTGTTAACATCTACCTATTTCCGATTCTGAGGTCTCATCTGCACCAGAGTCGTCTGAAAATGAATTTTCAGTGGGTCGGTTAGGTTGTGAAACAGGAACGTTAGCCCCAAGACTATTTGCAAATAAACAAAACCGAAAATATACCTTTTAAGCCAGTCTTTGAAGAAGGACAGTTCAGGGGTGTCGAGAACTTCAGGTTTCTCTTTAAGCAACTCAACAAATTGCTTAAGCAATGCGACCCTCTCCGGATTCATGCTTACGAAAACGCGCTTTGGAGAAAGGACCAGAACAGACTTATTCAACAACGACTAGTTCAAACAAAACTAGATAGAAAATCTTAAGTAATCACCGGTTGATATAATTCATTGTTGTTTGCCAAATTTGATTCGAAACCAATTTTTCATACACGTACGGATTTTGAATTCAGTTGGGCTTGCAAAATCTATATAAACTTATTGTCATTCAGCTTATGGACGTAAATAATTCCCTAAAATAAATAGTTCTGTAGGTCTTTTAGATTGATGCTGAACTTATTAGTTCTACTGCACACACTCCAGCTGAAGGCGTTCTGTCGATCATCCTCACCAAGTCACGATCGAGGACGCCGTGAAGGGTGTCCCTCTCAACAACCAGTCAGCTAAGATCAGGCAATTCTCGACACATTGACTATCTTCCAAGTATATCTCCGAAAACATTTCTATTCGACTTCTGGTTTGACTGACTTTGGGATACTCGATTATGAAGGTGTTGTCCTAACGTGATTTGCATTTATCAAACTTTTGCTGTGTTCTTACGCAACAAAAGTACCATTTCAGTTCTAAAGAATCTATCCTGAGCTATACGTTCGGTAGATTACTTTTTTTTTGAGTTTCACTATATTTAATAGTTACCTGTGGTTTTGCCTCAGCTTACTATTCGGGTTTTTTTGTTTTTCACGTATAGACTAGTTTCAGTTTAGATCACTCGTTTTGTCCATTTTTGTCCGTTTTCAGTGTGCATTTTAGTGTTTTTTAAAAAAGGTCTTAGGCTCTTGCAAGCATCTATAACATAATTTGCTTCAACACCGTCATGAAAAACTCATGCAAACGTCCGGGATGCCGTTTTGCTGTCACAACTGGCATGCAGTGCGACAACTGCAAAGGTTGATTCCACGAAACATGCACAGATCTGACAGCAACTGCTTACAACAGACTCAGCAAGTCAGAGCAAAAGTGGGTGTGTGTCACGTGCGACACAGACTCCGTAGTCTTGCTGAGTAACATCATTGCCCTACTGACAGGTCTTCGAAACAAGTTGTCAGTTAACTTGGAAAACGATAGTAAAAAAACTGATATACAAACAAGAGCGTGCAACGGACTCAAAAACAGGGATGTCGATAGATATTCCATCGATGGAGCATCCATCAACACTAACGACGACGTGTCGAGGCTCAGTACCATCATTACGTCGACGGTACTAGACTCCCTAGGCAAACTCGGGTCTCCTAGCTCAGGGTCCCTGAACACAACAGTGGTTGCCAAAAACCCTGCAGGTGATTCGACCCACGTTAAGAGAGCCCAAAAGAACCAGGCATCACCGCCTAAGCCGAGCAACCCAAGTGTTGCTGTACGGAAAATAACTGGTGATTTAGTCGCACAGTCTACCCCCAAGACTGTTCATCCGATCAATAAAGAGCCCATGATTCATAAACGCACACTGACCTCCAAACAACAAGTTATTAAACCTGAACCCATCGTGAAACCTGGTAAATTAACAACAGTTCGTGACGATTCTCTCATTATCATGAACCTCGTTGACAATCCTGATCTTCCTCTCAGTCTGCAGGATAAAAACGACAGGATGCTGTGGGGTGAATTGAACAAGAAGCTCGAACTTCCTAGAATAGAGCCTTTGACGGTCACCCGGCTCACTCGAGGAAAGGATTCTAAGCATCTAAATCACCCGAGGCTTCTCCGAGTAACACTTAAGGATGCTACCGACGTAGAGGACGTCTTGCTAGCAAGCCACTTGCTGAAATCAGATGGTAACGTAAAAATATTGCCCGACATACCGTACTCTGAGCGCAGTATCATACGAAACGTCCCTAAAGAATCTCGCGAGAAGTTTTTCCGCGGAAGAAACATAATTGTCCAAGGTATACCGGAAAATGCAGACCCTACTCAATCAAATTCTGACATCAGGGAATGGAAATTCATCAAACGGTCCTTGAGGCTAAAACACATACTGACTCCGCATGTGACGAAACTAGCCAAGAAGGACGGTGATCTTAGACCCCGTCTAATGAAGATAACCTTCCCATCTTCCCACATGGCGGCTGCAGTTCTGGAAGCATTTCGTGCTAATAGACGTCGATTGCCACCTGGAATCCACATGCACCCGGATAGGCCATACGAAGTTAGGACCAAGAACAAAGGCAAGTTGGAGCTGACCATTCCACTTGTGGACTGTCTAAACGATAAAAAAACGTGTAAAGGACAGGGCCTACCACCTCGGCAAACCTCAAATAGGTGGGCTACCTGTCCATTCACATAAGGTTCATACAGAAAAACAGGACGAAGCTCACGCGTTCCAAATTAAAAGCATAACCTGCTTATATATGAACGCCGCGAGTCTACCAAACAAACTGGATGAACTACGTGAACTTAGCAGTGCTAATAAGGCCCATCTGATAGAAATGTCTGAAACCTGGATATCTTTTCAGTTATCGGACCAGGAGTTAGCAGTACCTGGAATGTCTTTGTCTCGCAACGACATAAAATCAGGAATCAGGGGCGGAGTAGCCATATACATAAGCTCTTGCTTGGAGGTGCACCAGGTTCACAACCTCGAATTTAACAATCTTGAGGAATCCATATGGTGCTCTGTAAGATTGTCTAGTACTTCCAGGTGTCTAGTCGGAGTCATTTACAGGAAGCCAACTGCTGACACCGAGTACGATAGTCGTATGCTGGAAGGACTATCCCGCTCTATCCGTCTCGGTTTCACACACATCCTGATTCTAGGGGACTTTAATCTCCCTAGAGTCAACTTCGCGGAACACACGTACACTGGAGGCGACAACTCAACTGAAGCTCGGTTCTTCAACCTCATCGATAACTTGGGCTTATATGAAAATGTGAGGTCGGCAACTCGTTGGAGAAACAGTCAGACACCATCGCGCTTAGACTGTGTATTCACTAACGAAGAATTCCTAGTCGACAACCTCTCAATCCTGGCTCCTCTGGGAAAGAGCGACCATGCCGTCATAGCCTTCAGTTTTGTCATCAAAACTAAGCTAAGGTATCCCAACAATAATTTGCGTTGGAATTTTAAACGGCTGAATGTGCCAGCTCTACATGACTATCTACAACAGGTGGTTTGGGATGTTCACCCTCAAATCGATGTGAACGGTCATTGGGACTTCTTATTGCACACGCTCTTATGTGCTACAGACCATTCAGTTCCTCTAACGGTTCCCAAAAGCTTCAAGCCACCTACAGTAATCAAGAACCGTACCCTTCGCCTCCTAAGCCGCAAACGGCACTGTTGGGCGGAATACAAACGAACTAATAACGATGGAGCGTATAGGCAATACAAACATATCAGGAACACATGCACGGAGGCTATAAGAGAAGACAGGCTTCAGTACCAAACAAAGCTTATGGACAAATTCGCCTCTAACCCTAGAAGCCTATTCCGTTATGCAGCCTCTCTTCGTCAAGCCAAAACAGGAGTTTCTCAACTGCTAGGTCTTAACAGCCCGACCAACAACGATGGCAACGCCGCTAACCTTCTGGCGGCCCATTATTCTCAAACATTTCAACCGGCTGACATCAACTTTATTGACGACAGCTTCATCTCCAACTCCACAGGACTTTCTGAAGTGGACCTAAGCGCTGACTTGGTGTTCCGGAAATTGCAGCACTTAAGACTTGACACTTCTCCTGGCCCGGATATGGTTGATCCTGCCATACTGAGGGAGGCAGGCTCAATCCTGGCAACGCCGCTTAGCGTGATGTTTTCACACTCGCTTAGCCGAGGCAAATTACCGGAAAACTGGAAGTTGGCTCACATCACACCAATTTTCAAAGGTGGTCGACGCAATGAACCTTCAAGTTATCGGCCGGTGGCTCTTCTGTCATTACCTTCAAAACTCATGGAGTCCCTGATATGCGACGGTTTAAATGACTATCTACTGTCCTTAAATTTCTTCTCACCCCAACAGCATGGTTTCAGGAAGGGTTACTCTTGTATAACCAACCTGCTGACTGTGGTGGACAAATGGACAAGCTTCCTCGATTGCAAGGGAAAGGTTGACGTCATTTACCTTGATTTCTCAAAAGCTTTTGATAAGGTTAACCACTTGTGTCTTATCAACAAGCTCAAACGACTAGGTATCGAACCACCTCTAATCGATTGGCTTACTTCATACCTAAAAAATCGACACTTTAAGGTTAGGGTTAATTTCACTTTATCTCAGGCTATGGAATGTCCTAGTGGGGTCCCCCAGGGCTCAATACTAGGGCCTCTTCTCTTCTTGATCTACATAAATGATCTTCCTCAACAGGTAACGTCAGACTTATTACTTTTTGCCGACGACGTGAAACTTTGGAGAGAGATACGCAACCAAGACGATACACAGGCACTTCAGGAGGATCTGACTTGACTTCAAAGTTGGGCAGACGACAACGGACTTACCTTTAACACTTCAAAGTGTAAAGAAGTCCATCTGCGACATGTCGCAAACTGCAGTTACAACTTAGGAAACTCCTCTCTAGTAGTATCCCAAGTCGAAAAAGATTTAGGAGTCCTGGTGCCCCATGACTTAAAGTCTTACGCTAACTGTGACAAAAATGCCTTCCGAGCAAACCTTGCACTGGTAACGTTGAAGCGCATTTTTGGACAGTTTGACGGACGAACTTTCCATACAATCTTCAATAGTTTCATCCGTCCCCATTTAGAGTACGGAAACATAGTACTCCCCCCCTCACTCCAAAAGGATAAGGTCACTTTGGAGCGTATCCAACGGCGAGCCACGAAATCAGTTCGAGGACTCAAATCTAAGCCTTACGAAGAACGCCTCCGTTCACTAGACCTTTACCCACTAGAATATAGGCGTCTTAGAGGTGATTTACTAATGGCTTATAGTATTCTTAACACTTCTGGACATCCTCTTAAACACCTACTTAAGCTTAGTTCGAATAATAACCTAAGGGGTAACACCCAGAAACTGGAAACTCAACATAGCAAGACGGAATGTAGACACAACTTCTACTCCTTAAGAGTTGTCAAAAGCTGGAATTCGCTGCCGGCCGAGCTAG